CAGTGCTTTAACCCGCTGCGCCACCAGGGAGGGCCGAAAGTTGAGGTCTTTAACTGGTAAATGATTCCAGATGTGGCCATACTGCTGTCTAGTTGCTATGTTGTACAGAAACTAGTCAGTGAAATCCAGTCATGAAGTGAGTGTGTCCGAAATATCATCAATGTAAATGTTGCAACTAGCAAGAAGGACAGGGATAGAGAAGAGGAAAGAAGGAAGGGAGTGGAGGATGAGCTTCGTGCTAAAGCTGGATCTCAGTCAGTAGATGGTGCAGGGATTGCAGAGTGTTCGCAGCTCTCAAGTACCTACAATGAGGAATTGGGCATCACTCCTGGAAAACTGTGGTATGGAAGCAGGACAGGGGGGTAGGAAGCAGGCCACACTCTCCATGCATCAGGTCAGGGATGGTGTGAGAAGATGCAGTGAGAGAGTGAGGCATCTATTAAGGTAAATCAGATTATTCACTCATTTGACAAATCCAGGCCAGACACATCTGTTTTGTCGAGTGGTATAACACGTAACACAGTATGTGCTGGAGTGTAATATATGGTTGAATAGAGAGAATTAATCGAGTATTTCTGAAACTGACATAATAAAGTAGGATGAGGCATATATGAAACATTCTCTTCTTAATTCTTATAACAGTACTTATTTAGATAATGGTGTCATCATATTCTGTTTTATTTTTTTCCTAAGAGCTGAAATGCCATCCTCTCTTCAGTGATGTGGACTGGGAAAATCTGCAGCATCAAACTATGCCTTTCATACCCCAACCAGAGAATGAAACAGATACATCCTATTTTGAAGCCAGGAATAATGCTCAGCACCTGACTGTATCTGGATTTAGTCTATAGCACATAATTCTTCCCTTTAACTTTGAAATCACAAGCTTATGTAACTATATACTTAATACTAGGTTGATCTAAGGGGAGAAGAATCACTGTTCTACCTAGATTAATAAATTGCTAATGTTTATTACAGTTTTCACAGATTAAAAAACTATCAAGAATATAATCAGTAATTTATCTTTATCTTAGAATTGCCTATATGCAAAGCGCATTTCATCTTATTTATTTTGATACTGCACTTTATACAAATTAATGCATCAGTAAAACTATAATGACACTACCACGATAGAGGAAAAAGTCAACTAGGAACTCAGTGTCCTTTCTCAGGTGTTGACCACCTTTCAGTTAGGGATTAAAATGATGAGAAATACCATAGTTTTATCGTAATGTAATTTATTTGACACGAGTGCCTACAAAAGCCGCAGTCTCAAGGATAGACACTACATTCTTGATCTCAAAAATGCAGCTGGAAAACTCCACTGGGAAATGAGGAATAAATAAAAGGACTAAGATTCTGATAACTTTAGGATAGTTTCGCTGCCTTGTCACTTTTGGTGCTTTCTCTGCAATATAACTTGTTCATAAAGTAGTCCTGGGAAGCTTTGGTGTGCTCTCCTGTAGCGACTTTTAACAACTTGTTCAGTTTTAGTAAACAGTGATGTTTTACATCTTAAAATGATTTAAGCTTTATGCAGCATTACTAGAAATAGCTTGATCCTTAGCAAATAAATTTTCCTTAATAATGTAATTATAATTTAAGTAAACTATTCACATCATTCTTTAAAGTACATATTACACAAAATTAAGCCTTATAGGACCTATCTTACATTCATTGAGGCTTTCAGCATATTCAAAAGGACAAGTTCAAATTCAAATGTAAATTTTCTAATACTTTGTTAGGAAGTTTTGTTCCTTTTGTACCTTGGTTTGGTGATTTTTTTCTTTCATTACCATCCCAATAAGGTCCCTATTATAATGTAGTTGACAAAGATAATAGAGTGAAAGACTGACCATTCTAATCGATGCTAAATAATTCAATCTCCATGGTTTGTTTTACTGAGCTTGTTTTAGTAATGATTACTTACTAGACTTAAGCTTCTAAGAGCTTAAGTCTAAGAGCTTAAGTCTAAGAGCTTAAGTCACCTCTTCCAATAAAACATTCAAATTACAGTTGTTAAAGCTTTGCTTAATATTAATGACATTTTCCCCTTAAATTAGGTAAAAAAAAAAAGTAGAATTTTGTATCCTTTTATGGTATTTTCAAGTAGTGGAAAAAATAGTGGTTTTGGAATCAAACACATGTTTCTTAAACCATTGCTCTGCCACAATAAAGGCCTTGGGTAGGTTAAACTAAGCTGCTGAAGGTTTACGAGTGTGATGAGGATTATGGAATTCTTTAGTGGAACTGTTCAGGATACCAGTCTTCTCAGGGACTTGAAGCATTACTGAGTAATTGGGGAAATGTACAGTAATACTAACCCCAAACACAGGAAAGTGTGTCCTTAAATAGAAAAGGTAAAAACAGTTTTCTGTATTAGACCTAATGTGCAGCTAATCACCTGGAGTTCTGCATGCTCTAAAGGTTTTTACTCAAAATGTGTGTGTGTGAATGTTTTTTTAAAAAGCATTTGACTATACGGGTAGAAATCTGTATGTCTGTTACTATATATAGTTTTTGTTAGGAAAAAAAATTCTCCCATCTCCACTAAATGTTAAATTCAGAAAATGTTTTCATCTAATTTTCTCAAACACCTGTCAGAATAAAGAGTGCAGAGTAAACATAAAAGGTGTTTAATAAATGATTATTTGAACCCTAAGTACCCTGCTGTTGCTTGGAATATGTGTCTTAATTTTGGTTTTGGGAAGTGTTCACTATATTAAAACATTGTTATGCTTCTATCATCATGAAGGATGTTCAGGTCCAATTGTTACAGGACAGAGAGAGGGGTCACCTCAGGACCCCCAAACCTGCCTGCTCTAAATAGCTTCCACCATCTGCTGCATCAAGACAAAATATGTAAGACTTTTAATGGAAAGGAACTTTAATACAATTAGTGTACAATACAGAAAAGACAAAGGGTATAGCTTCTAAATCAAACACCCAAAGTTACCCATCCCCCTCATGGGTAAAAGTCCATCTGAAAAGGACTGGCCCAAAACAAGGCTTGAAAGCCAGATACAAGTCTAAAGCCCCTTCCATTGGGAACCCATAGAAAAGGGTCAGAAACAGACAAGCCTAGGAGGAAAGGAACAAAATCAAGATAAACATTGCCATAGTGAACCCCCCATGGGTTTTTCACCCACATCTGTTTCGACCAGTTGAGGACCAGGAAGCAAGCAAGAGCCGCTTCTTCACAGTCTTTCTGCTCCATGGGGCTCCCTTGAGTCTCCTTCTAGCTCTCCATCCTACTTCCTTTCTCTTCATTCTCCTCTCCAGATTCTTCTCCCTGCTCAGCTCCAACCTCCAGATTCTTCTTCCTGCTCAGCTCCAACCTCCTTTGGGTGGGGCAGGGAACCTAGAACCTCCCATTTTTCTGGGGACCACCCTGTTATACTCCATTTCTCAGCAAGAACCATCAATTACAGATATGCTCAGAGCCCAGGAGATTGTAGAATCATTTACTGTTTCCATTATGTCTCCTTTCAACCAATACCAAATAGTCATGGTGGGTCATTTTTAGAAGTGTGTGGAAAGGGTATTAGACAGGGAAATAGTTGAAGGAGGTAGACTAAGCACAAGGTTATTGCTCAAGCCACATATTTCAGAGGCACAATCAATGGGGTTTTCCTATGGGTGTAATGAGTAGGGTAAGGGAGTGAGAATCAATTCTGATACCTTATTTCTGACTTTAACTGAGTCAACTGTGCTATATGTGGAGTACTGAAAGACCCATTAGCCAACATATTCTTTTGACATGACTGAGATAGAAAGAATTCAGCAGCTCTCCTGCCTACCTGTGACTATGCAGGTGCTCTTTTTTCCTCCTTTTCCTAATAACATGTCCTTTAAACAGGAAAAAAATAAAAAGGAAGAAACCAGTTAGACTTCTAGGTCAAAATGGTGGATTGAAAGACTACATGTAACTACTTCCATTGATGGAATTCCTTAAAAAAGGGCCGTTCTTTTTAAGTCCTAAATCCACATGGTGGGGTCCACCCTGGTGGCACAAGAGGTTAAGTCTCAACACTATGATTCTATTAATAGCCACTGCAGCTTGAGTTTGATCCCTGGCCAGGGAGTTGACCCACATGGCAAAGCAGACCTCTCCTGTCTCACCTGCTGCTCCCTTCAGCAGTGTATTTCAGTTGATTTGCCTGTTCTGCTTCCCAGTCTGTCTCTGGTAAATCCCCTCACTTCCTCTGACCTCCTGAATCTCTGGCCTACACTTCAGCTCTTGTTTGCTGAACAAGTAAATAAATCTTCAAAAGATGGGCTGAGGAATTAAATAGACACTTGTCCAAATAAGTCAAATGACCAATGGGCACATGAAAATATATTCAAAATTACTTATCAGGGAGCTGTATATCAAAACCACAATGAGATACCACTTCACACTTGTGAGAATGACCCATATCAAAAAGACCAGAAATAAGGAGTGTTGGTGAGGACTGCAGAAAAAGGAGACTTGCACACTTTGGAGGGTTACAGACTGCCAGCCCTAACGGAAAACAGAGTGGAGTTTTCTCAAAATATAACAGCTACCATTTGATCCAACATTTCCATTCCCACCTTGCTACATAAAGAATGCAAAAAAACACTAACTCAAAGGAATATATGTACTCTTGTGTACATGTGCATCACTATTTATAATAGCTAAGTTATGGAAACAACCTAAGTACCTAAGAACAGAACCTGAGTAGAGTAAGAAAATGGTGTATTTGCAGAGCAGGTTACTACTTTGTTTTAAAAAAAAAAAGACAAACTGTTGTCATTTGAGACAATGTGAATGGAACTGGAGCCAAAAGGAAAAAAATATCATATGGCTTCACTTATATGTGGAAGTGAAATAAGGGTCCGACAAAACCAAACTGGTAACAAACTAGAATAGACTGTAGAATTGAGACTACCAGGGAGTCGGAGAGGGGTGGAGAACAAAATGTACATTGCCCTAAACAGACTATGGGCGCCTTGGGGGTGGGGTGGGGTGGTAATATGCTCTGTGGGTGTGATTCTGCACCTCTGAATCATATTATGAAGCAATGTTACCTCACAGTAGCTCATATGCAAAACCCTACCACCATTTTCCATCAAGGAACTACTGTAGATATTTACTCTGATTGAGGTGGATTGAATGGCTGTGGGAAGTACCATAAGGCCTGAAACCAAGATTTTGACTTGATCAATATTAACATTGCGAACCAAATGAATAAACAAGCTATTTCTCTTTCCTACTTTATAAAATGACATTAACTAGTGTGGTTGTATAGTCGGTTTGTTGTTTGGGAAGATGCATGATTATATGAATTCCTACAGTTCTCACTGAATCCTTAGTATATTAACAATGCACTTCTACCAGTAAGAATAAAATCATATAATTTCTCATTAACATTTTAATTTTAACTTAGTTTTACAATAAACAAAGTAAATTATTAAAAAATATATAGCTGACAATTTAAAATCTGAAATGAGGTTCTTGTTAAACAAAGCAGTAATATTATACCCCATAATTATATCTTTATTTTATATTCAAGAACTGTATGAAAGTATAAAATAAGACTGGAGTAGGATACAAATCATTATCACCAGGAATTAATTACCCACAACTCGTAATGAATCACAACTGCTTATATACTTAATTTGCATTTATTATTTACTAAGAGAAAAGCCACCATTTTCTGTACCAGACTGACATCTAACTTTTAAAAAGAATCCCTGATCCATCAGTCTAATCTTTAGTTTCACATGAAATTCAGTACTTGCTTCATTTTATTCTGCGAAGTAAAATAGAGGAGTTTTTAAAAAGCAAACATTAGATCCTTTTAGACAGATACATTTTAATCAAGGTGGGATTTAAAAGTAAAAAAATCAAGTTACATGATGAGAAGCAAGCTCTTATTTTTTTCTTCAGGCAAACAAGACCCATCCTGTATATTAGGGATGGCTTACTTTCCTCTTGAAAACACTCTGAACACATGCTAAATTCAACATCACACATACTATGTATGCTTACAAAGTATTTGCTACAATGCCTTCAAATCAGAGAAATCTTCAAATCAGTGAAAGCACAAGGTAAAAGCCAAATGAGAGTGTTTTGAAAGATATACAGGAAGGATTTTTTTTTAAAGCATTCAAAAAGCATTCAAAACTGTCTAAATGACAGTTTTATGTCTTACTGGAAAAATAGCAGAGGGACTATTTCCATTAGTTGGATATGCTTTACTCATGTGGCCTGTTCGTTTGCAAATCCTTTTACTACTACCCCTGTGAAACAGGTATATCGCTAATTATCACCATTAGGAAAAAGAAAGGAGGCACTAAGAGGTTGAGTCCAGTCTACGTAGTTTACCAGTTGCTTAAAAGTGATCATCATGTGTTCCTTTTTGACCTTTATAAAAACAGTATAAATAAGTTTTCATTTATATTTCAAAGCACCTATGAAGCAGAGACAAGATATCTTCAGTTAAAATGATTACAAAGGAATATATGTAAATGATTCGATAAAGATCTTATTAATGATCTGCAGGCTCAGAATATACTTGTCAAACATACTGTAAGTCTATTCTTCATCTTTTCCAGCAGGTTTTGTGTTATGTTGTGAATCATTTGTAGAAATTAAGCCTAGTACATCAGGTTGTACTTTTATAATAATGATGCCTGAATCCTAAAGTTAGAGTTGGGAAAGCCCAGGAAAGAATTAAGGGCAGCCTATAGAGTGGGTTTGGAAAAGATTCTTCCAGTAGTTTGCTGCTCCTTGGCATGGTAATTTAGTGACTAAGCTATAAAGTTGATTTAATCTCATTTGAAATTCACTCCTGGTTTGCAGTCTTTCTCATATTTAATGCAGAAAATTAAAAATGTCCAGTTATAAATCTGATCTGATCACAACTGTACCTGGAAAAGCAGCTTATATTTCTCTATGGGACATAATCAGGTAAACAAGTTACCAAACAATAATTAATAATTTAACATCCTTCAAGTTCAAGGGTAGGGTAAATCTAGGTATGCTACTTATGACCTAGTTGAGATTGATTATTCAAGTATCAGCAATATTAGTCCTTAAAATGTTATCATTCGTGTAGTGCAAAATATATACGTATTTATGTACACAAGTCAAACTACTAGACAACAAAAAGAAACGTAAATCATCACAAACTAAGATTTTCTTGTGACTTTCACAATCCACTTCATTCCAAGGTCACCCAGGTCCAGTAGTCTTCTTGAGCAAAATTCCATTTTCTTCAGTTCAATTTTCTTGGAAAAAAAAGTGAAAACCAATTTCCTATGAATATAAATGCAACTTGAATATGAAACACATTCATACTAAATAATTCTCTGAATAACATAATACTCCAAATTCAAAATCATAAAGTTACAAATGATCCTTATGAAATTATTTCATGTGACTTATATAACTAAATACAAAAGATCCAAAGGCAGGTGTCAACATTACCAAACAGTTTGTAATAAATCACATATTTATATTCCTCCTCATCCTTTTCTAGTTGGCTTAATATAACTCATATTTTTGACAATCATTTCATAATTTTATCAAAACAAAAAAAGCTATAAAATTAAAAAGCTTAAAACTACAAAAGATTTATAGGTGTATAACCTGGACTATACAGTTAATCCATGTATATTATGTATCTTAATTTCTAGGTATTGGGGATTCAAACAGGTAATTCTCAGTTTTCAAAAGTGCTCTCCGTTTAGCTGAGAGGGCCAGAATATAAACCAACTACTCAGATATATATAACATGATGGTTTAAACGACAGCAGATGAATTAGGGATCAGAGATGGGTTCACTAGCATACACAAAACACAACAATCACATATGACCTGAGGTGCGGGAAAGGTCCTCCAGTTATAAAATGTCTACATCCTACCAAGGACTCAACATACCAAATGCCTAAAATTCTCTCATAGATTCATGTTTTTCCTCTATAGAAATGCAACCCTGTTAGCAGGAGTGTTATTTCAGATAATCAGGTCATTCTTTACCCCATGCAGAAATCCTCTTATGCATACCTCCTAGGCAGGAGTGACATTTTGAATACACAGATCAGTTTTCACATAACAGTAAATTACTTGTGACAAAAAGAAAACAGGCCCTTGGACAACAGTTGAAGTTGTCAACAAAGACAAGACAGATGTAGGTGGTCCTAAAGAATCTACCTGAATAAAGTTTTAACAGAATGTTAGCTGCCAGATGTCTGAACAATTAGCCCACATGATACAGATTACATTAAAAGACTTTAACAGATTTACAAAAAAGCACACAACTTTGGTTATAAATCCACCAACAGTCTGCAAGAGACTGTCCATAAAGCACCACTACCTTCAGAACTTTAGAATATTTTTCAGGCTACTAATGAGCCCGTTAGTTCTTTTTAGCTTTTTAAAAAAACAACTCATAAAATGTGGTTGAAGCGCCACAGAAAACAACAGATCATGGAATAGGAATAAATTATGATTCTCCCCTTGTCTGCTGAACTCTTCTCAGAAGCCTAGGTTTCTGACAGTCAAAGTATTTTGACTTAGTCAAAACATGGGCAAAAGAATTAAAAAGACATTTCTCTAAAGGGAATGCCTTGGGCTTCCCAGTTGGGGCAGGAGTTAAAGTCTCAGTACTCTCAAGCTATTCCCAGCCACTGTGGCATGAGTTACATCCCCAAGCTGGAGGATAAGGTATAAAAGGTCGTCTAACTGAGATGAAACTGATTATATTCAAGTTTCAGCAATTTTAGGCCTTATGAGTAGAGTACATCCTCTCCTGCCTACACTTTCCTATTCTAATCAGATTGCTAGATATTTTTTCTTCTGTTCTATTAGTGTTAAAAATATTTAATTAAAAATATTAAACTGGCCCTCCCTGGTGGCGCAGCGGGTTAATGCACTGCACTGAGAAACTAAAGCCACTTCTGCACGAGTTCGATCCCCGCCTGCCCCGGAGGTGACCACATGGCGTGGCAGACCTCTCCTGACCCGCCCGCTGCTCCCCTCAGCAGTGTACTTCGCTGATCTGCCTGTTCTGCTCCCCACTCTGTTCATGGTGAATCCTCTCACCCTCCCTATCTCTGGCCTGTACCCCAGTTCTGTATGAATAAATAAATAAATCTTTAAAAAAAAAATATTAAACTGCCAGATTAAAAGATTCCTGAATTACCTCAAGGCCAATACTTATTTCCACATCAAGTATGGTTTTACCTCCAACCCTAATTATTTTGTTATATATCTAATTGAAGAGTACATAGGAGATCCTACTTCCATTATTCAGCAATGAAAAAAAGACAAATTTAAGCCATTTGTAGCAATGTGGATGGAATTAGAAGTGATTATTCTGGGCCCTCCATGGTGGTGCAGCCGATTAGAGCACAGCACTGCAACGCTGGCGTGGCCCCTTCAATGGGAGTTTGATCTACCCCCACCACCCCTCCCACCCCACGATCCCGACCCCTCCCCCCATTGGTGATCCATAAGGCAGACCTTTCCTGACTGGCCTGTTGTTCCCCTCAGCAGTATACTTTGTCTATCTGCCTGTTCTGCTCCCCATTCTGTCTCTCTGAATCTTCTCACTGCCCATGCACTTCTGGCCTGTACCTAAGTTCTTTATGCATAAATAATTAAAATATTTAAAAGAAAGGTGATTATTCTAAGCCAATTAAACAGGAAGAAATATAAATACCAGATGGTGTCACTTATATGTGAACTGTAGAGAAAACCAAACAAAGGCCAGACAAAGACAAACATTAAAACCATCTCTTGAAAGCTGACCATAGGTCTGTGGCATCCAGGGAGGGATGGAAGGGTAGGAGTGTGTATGGGGGAGGTAAATAAGAGAGCAGAACAGACTATGGGAGAGGACTATGGGTGATTTGACTTCAGGAGTGCCCCAGTGGCCACACCTGAGGGAGTAAATCCTGTACTGCAAAAAACATTACAAAGGTGTAAAACATTGGTAGTTCAATTTAAAAAAATTGTATTCCATCAAAATGCAGTGTACAGTGCGAAATAACTTAAGTTTGGAAGGACTAAACACTTTCAGTAAAAGATTTGATAAAAATTCATTAACAAAGCCGAAAATTAAATAGGGAAGTTTCTCCATTGAGAGACTTTTGTGAACAATTGCAAAAGATACCTAGGAAAAATGATGTATATGCTTCCACAAGTAAGGAACATTTGAAAAAAAAAAAAGCTATAAAAAAACCTGAAATTTCTGGTAACTCTTAAACCAAAGTATAGCTTATTTTTTGTTTTTAATGAAGTGATAAGCTGCTTCAAACTTAATTGTAAAATCAATCATTAACTAAAGTAAGCTTTAAGGTTTTTTAAATCCTATGCCAAATTTCACTATTCTCCAGTCACCAACTTTCTATAAAGAAACCATGAAAAAGAACTTTGAAATGAATTGCAAAATATATAAACACCTACCATAATGTTTAAAGCTAGCTGTTTAAAGCTAGCATTACTATATTTCTTTTAAAAAGTTTCTCTTTTCCAGATCATGCTTAGTGAAATAAGTCAGAAAGAAAAGGAAAAATACCGGATGGTTTCTCTCATAACAGGAATATAACGGAACAGGCGAGAAAATAGTGATAATGATGAACAGCTATGTACCAGAGACATTTTGTGGGGGTGGAGTGGGGAATGGGGTCAAAAACAGTGGGGGGAGGGAAATGCACTGGACTATGGTGATGGACATGGGTGATTTGGTGATGGGAAACCCAAGGGGATTGCAACTGAGCTGGAAAAACGCACAAAAACATATAAAAATAAACTATTATATAAAAAAGTTTCTCTTTTCCTCCTATTGTTAAGGATATTAGAATGTGAAATACAATACAGCAATAACCAAACATCATAGTAGAAGTATAAAATGAGTGAAAGAAGAAATTAAGGCCTACATCTTCACATCTGAAATCATACACACATACACACACACACAAACGGACTAGAAAGGGGGTAAATAATACTGAGAAAGCAATTTAATGCTTCTGAAATCCTACTAGGGTTTTTTTAAGTGACAGGAGTATGTCAAGAACACTAATGTATCAGGAAACTTAATTTAGTTCATTTATAAGTGTTTATCAAACTATCTTAACATAAGCAAAGAACAAGGATGACTAAAACAATTCATGTAGCATCAGGCATTTCTGTTTCTCAATTATAAAGTAGCATGCATGGAGCACTTATAGGCTTATTCCATTTAGCCTAAGAGAAAAGTAAATGTTTGATTTTTCTTTTGTTATAAAGTATAGTAAATTAGATAATTGGGTTCATTGTTAGAGGAACAATATACCTTATTCATTTAAAAAATATGTTTGCCAGGCACATTAAGAGAGCACCATAAAGTTTATCATCGGTACTGTGTTTCTTTTCCTCACCTGTTGTTGATTAATGGAAAATGGTAATGAAAACATACCCAGAGAGGGTAGCAGTAAGATCAGATTTTACAGCACCCAGAATAAGCTTTCAAGATTTTCTTGAACTGAAGAGTTTTGGCCTCAAGTTATTCCTAATTTAGACAAACTCAGAGTACTTTCAAGGAATTCTAATTACCACCAGACCTCTTTAAGATATATGCTAGCACCCCAAATCGAAACTATAAGTCTCAAATTAGAATGATTCCCTTATTTTACAGATAGTCAATTAAGAGGCTGAAATATTTCTGAAGTGGCAATGCCTGCATCTCAAAGGCACAGAGGACATGCAGACATCATTTATTTACTTGCCCACTGCCCTTTACTGTTAACAAAGGGTCTAAAATAACTATCAGACTTTTTTAAGAGTATTTTTTCCTCATAAGCCATAAAACATAAGCCTGTACTCATTTTTCTCAGTGTTGACTACCTCAGAATGTACAAATCCATCAGATGATCACAAGTGTAAAATTTTTAAATCCAGCAGTACCTAGAAATCCATCAGACATCATTTCTAAGGTATTACAGTTTTAGTCTAAGATTATCACCAAATATTCTATATAATGATACACTAATACCAAGTATAATACCTATTCCCTTTTGGAAGTTCTGCCTACATTAGATTAAAAGCATTTACACATCATACTGAATGGTAAGCTACAGTATTACCTTCTCCGCCTTTGATAATATAAATGCACCAACCACTGGGCAATAAAAGGCCAGATGATGGCAAAAGTTAATGCACCAGGAGACATCTCAAAGGGCCACCAAGATGGTCTCTGAGGAAATAAAGTGATCTTTTAACTATTACATATTGCATATATGGACTTAAAAATACATATAATTCTGAAAATATGCAACTAATAAATCTAACATTCTGCATTTCAGAATATAATTCAGTAAGACTCTCAAGAATAACTCACAAAACAAAGTTTTAACTTCAAAGATCTAAGAGGTAGATTTCACTTGGAATATTTTAAGGACTTTATATAAATTTATTAATAACTTACTTGAAACTCTAGAATTTAGATTTAATAACTCTTTACCTGTGAGGAAGATGGATTACTAGTGTGTAATGTTGATGCTCTTGCCTGGAAACACAAATAAAAGTGATTAAATTTTCACAAAATGAAAAAAATGCAGTAATTTTCTATTTTTTAAAGGTTTAAGTAGTCTTATTAAATGACACACTTGAACTTCTTTAATTTACACATAAACTACCAATTTGCAAACACATTTGAGAACTGCAACCTTAAATAATATTTACATATTTTTAAAAGTAGGTTTTACTTATTTTTTCAAAATCATTAAAATAGTGTGTTAGGTTTGATCATTAGAGATTAGTTTTACAGACTCAACAGAATGGAATGGAAAAAAGATAAATGAGGAAGCTAACCTGTGAAGCTGTTAGCGTTTCCAGTTTGTGAAGTCTCTGAAGGACATTCTGCATGTCCTCCTGCAACCGCATGAGCACGAGAGCAATCTGCTCATTGAGGGTGCCTCTTGACCCTCTGTCTGAACCCCAGCGCTCCCCATCACCTCCACTTCCCATTTGCCGGCTCTTGGTTCCTTCACTCAAATGTTGCATCCTATGCCCTATTTTAAGAGAGCAAAATAAGTTTACTGTAGCTTTTTTCTTATGAATAACAATGTCTTTCGCCTTTTGTTACTTCTTTGAGATTTAAACCTCCACAGTTAAAGGAAACAAATCAAGAAGTACACAAAATAGGGTGCAAGCGTTGCAGGACTAGCAAACTCCCCACAGCCACTGTAACATGAGTTCCATCCCAGCAGGGAGGTGACCCACATGGCACAGCAGACCTCCTTTGTCCCACCTGCTGTTCCCCTCAGCCGTGGATTTTAGTCAATCTGCCTGTTCTGTTCCCACTCTGTCTCTGGTGAATCCTCTCAAACCACATACCTCTGGTCTCCATCCCAGTTCTCGTTTGCACAAATAAAAATAAATCTAACCCAAAAAAAGTATATAAAATAATGGATCAAAGAATAAACTTATATTCATAAGTTGGTTTTGCTTAGCTTTTATCATGTGGTTAACATGCTAATACATAACTAAATGCACAGAATTCACAAATAATATACATATTTTGAATGTGTATTTCTTAAAAGTTCTTTACTAACAAGATGGAAAAATTAAAAATCCAATATTCAACAGCTAAGCTTCCTTTTTGACTCCCAATATGTGTGTGTGTGTGTGTGTATGTGAATGTATTTTAGGGAAATGTGGAAATATTTACTTATTTATTCTTAAAAGATTTATTTATGCATATAAAAGTGGGATGCAGGCCAGGTGTAAGTGAGAGGATTCACCAGAGACAGAGTGGGGAGCAGAACAGGCAGACTGAGAAGTACACTGCTGAGGGGAGCAGCAGGCAAGACAGGAGAGGTCTGCTGTGCTATGCAGGTCACTTCCCTGGCCAGGGATTGAATTCCTGCTGCAGTGGCTTTGGATACCTTCATAGTGCTGGGCTTTAACCCACTGTACCACCAAGGAGGGCCCAGATATGGAGTATTTACTTTTATTGCTTTAACAAATATATTATCTAAGGTATTTTATACTAAATACTATTTTTTAAGTCTTGAAAAAATTTTACATGGTTTGTTTTCATTGCTTTTTTTTTTTTAAGATTTATTTATTTGTGCATACAGAACTGGGGTACAGGCCAGAGACTCAAGGGTGGTGGAAGACTTCACCAGAGACAGAGTGGGGAGCAGCACAGGCAGATCATTGAAGTACACTGCTGAGGGGAGCAGCAGATGGGTTAGGAGAGGTCTGCCACACCATGTGGTCACCTCCAGGGCAGGTGGGAATCGAACTCATGCAGAAGTGGTTTCAGCTTCTTAGTGCAGTGCTTTAAACCACTGCGCCACCAGGGAGGGCCTGTTTTCATTGCTTTTTAAAAAACGTACAGCATGTATTTTTTCTGATATATAGTAAGATTTATATTTTGCTCAAATGATTGTTTTTTAAACACCAATTTGCTTAAAGTCATTACTTCTCTTTTTGATAACTATTCTTTTCTTACTATGAATTATAAATTAATATACATGACAATAAAAAATAATAATTATTGCCAATTATTTTCCCCTTGTCTTCCCTGTTCCTTCCCTACTCAATTATCTTTTCTATTATCTGGCCAGAGTATTATTACTAATATTTATCTTCACATTGTTGCATGTTTTCTTATCTCCAGACTTGATCTGCCATTTATAAAGATCTTTTGATTTAAGAGGGAAAATGTGGAAAATATAATTCAGATTTTCACCTAAAGTAAGAAAAAAAGCAGCAGTAAAATGATAGCAATCAGTTCAGTGATTATTCAGTGAGATGATGAAACACAAATTTGACTACCTCAAAAATTTACCAAAAAGATGTTGAAGTAGAATTACTTCTCCCAGATATTTGGAGAACACACTACTGTAACCTCTGGCATCAAAGATTTAGATCTAAAGAAAAGTGGGCAGATACTATGTAAGAATAACTTTAAACATTGCTTTTGTAAATTGACAGTCCTAGTGCCTCACCTATCTTAAACCTCCTTATTTCACAAATTAGTTATAAAGACAATGAGAACAGAAAAGAAGTAATACATACCTTTCCCTCTTCTGACGTTAGAGAATTCCTCACTTTCTCCCCCTCGCTTCTCACGTTGTGGTGCGCCACTGTTATTCCGGCCATCTTCTCCTCCATGCTTCACTTCACCTTTCCCTTCAACAGCTACCATGTGCATATCTCCAAAGCTGCCATTTCCAGGAGACACTTGAACATTTCCAGAAAAAATAGGATTTTCCAAGGACTGATTGGGGTTACCACCCAAGTAGTATCGAAATGGCCCATTGTTAGATGTAAAGCTGTCTAAAGGCTATAATTGAAAATAACATTTACTTAAAAGCCATAATCATAAATCATACATCACAAATTTTCATAAAAGGTTTACTGTTTCATAAAATGTTTTTTCATATTATCATAGGGAGTATTTTTCTAAAAACTTCTTCACTTCATATTCTGTTTTTTATACGCAAGGAAGAAATGGGATGGGAATGATTCATCTATTAGCATAGAATTGAGAAGTTCTGACAGTGAATTTTTCTTGTGAGACAGCTATTTGTCTAAGAAAATTTAGGGCTCTCCCTGGTGGCACAACAGGTTAAAGTGCAGCACTATGAAGCTATCTCAGCCACTGCAGCACGAGTTCTATCCCCAGCCAGGGAGAGGACCCACATGGTGAGGCAAACCTCTCCAGATCCTCCTGCTGCTCCCCTCAGCAGTGTACTTCATCAATCTGCTCTGTTCCCCACTCTGTCTCTGGTGAATCCTCTCACTGCCCCTGCACCTCTGGCCTGTACCCAGTTCTGTATGCATAAATAAATAAATATTTAAAAAAAACCAACAGAGGCCCTCCCTGGTGGCGCAGCGGTTTAAAGCACAGCACTGAGAATCTGAAGCCACTTCCGCATGAGTTCGATTCCTGCCTGCCGCCTGCCCTGGAGGAGACCACATGGCGAGCCAGACCTCTCCTGACCCGCCCGCTGCTTCCTTCAGCAGTGTACTTCGTCGATCTGCCAGTTCTGCTCCCCACGCTGTCTCTGGTGAAGCTTCTTACCGCCCCTGAGCCTCTGGCCTGTACCCCAGTTCTGTATGCACAAATAAGTAAATAAATCTTTAAAAAAAAAAAAAAAACCAACAGAACACTTTAAATGTCTACTCTTACCCTAGTTACTTTATTTAACTTTAGGAATAGTAGGAAGAAAGAGACAGATTCCCTACCTGCAGGAAACTTCAACTCTTAGTAAGGGAGTTTAAAGAAGCAAAATTATTGCAACATAGTCTGATAAGTATTATGAAAAATATGTATAAAGGGAGCACACAGAGGGAGCAACTAATGTATACTTGGACTGGAGATTTGGTCAGCATAGTCTTCCACAAGGAAATGATGTCAGATAAGTGAAAGAGGTGGAGACGACAGCACGTACCTCGAAAGGACTGAATGTGGGGAATGTGTAGTCAGATTATTACTGAGATTTACCCCTATTCAGTCCACTTCACCAGCCTTCCCAAAGCAAGTGTTTTAGAAAAGAAAAAAAGAGAATCTAGATTTTAATCACTATTTATTTCTATTTTTCATTAATTTCAGCTCAGCCTCAGCTTGGCCTAACTACCATTATTTTTCCATCTATGTTACTCATTGTGTTTAAGCTTACTTAAAATGTATCTTATTCACGTGCCTTTAAAATTTGAGAAAACTAAGAGGTAGATTTCATAGTATTAGGTACTGAAAAGAGGAAAACACAGAGGAAAAAAATTAAAATCATTAATTTGGGGAGGCAAAAGATAAATTATTTCCTATAAAGACACATTAAATATGTGTCTTAGAACAGTATGAGTTAAGGATATAACATCAGCAAACAATAGATGTTTCAAGTATAGAGACATACAGAGTTTACTCTGCTTCCTTGTCCTGTATCACTCATTATATTACAAATTATATTTAAGTATTTTTAATAATACAGAAATTTTATATTTTTTAATTCACAGAAAATAATTAAAATCACAAATGTTTAAACATTTTAGAAGTCTGTTTTCAAAGTGATGAAGAGCACATACATCTTCTATTAAGAAAAACTGTGCACTGAATTCTGATTTATCACTTTGAAAACTCACCAATTAAAAAATGTTATTTTTACCTCCTCCTGTCCAAATTGCTCCATGGAATCACAGTAAACTTCACTGTCTGAATCACTGGTCAAATGTTGAATTCCTGAAACATCTTCAATATACTCATCATTCACATCTAAATATGAAAAAGTACACAGTTATTTCTCAAGAATAATACATTTATTCCATTTCAAAATTTATCAGCTGTATTATTTTCATGCTAGGAGACAAATTTGTTCTACTAAGTCACATTTATTTTAAATTCACTAAAACTAAGTAATTTTATAAAAGAATTATACAAAACCACTATCAAGATCAGACCTTACAAAACATAAGAGAAAATGACTACCTGTTAAGAGGCCTACATCCGGGATATAACTATGCAAGTTTGGTTATTACATTAAGAAATGATTTTTATGGTTTCTCAACTAAACAATAATATGTTAATTAACCGTCACATACAATAGGTTTATTCCCTACAATTCTAAGATATAAAAAGACCATAACTTATGATGGTGATTGGAGAAAAAAGATGATCAGAGATTTTGAGTAAAAGAAACCTTAGTTTGAATAAAAGCAAACATTTCAATTTCTCTTTCCAGTATATAAGATGTCAAGAGAGGATGTGGCAGGTCCTCTGGGATGAAATTCTGACTTCTTTGGGTTCTCTGGTAGGAGCCATGATTAACTGTACTGATAACACAGATGCCAGGAATTTGTACAACACCTCTGTAAAGGGGTAAGGGGATGATGGACCAGACCGCCTGCTGCTGGTGTGTGGGTATCATAAAAGGCCACAGTTGAGAAAGGCAAACCAGAGTGCAGAAAGAAAGGTACATTAAGCAAGAGGTAACTTGACAAAGAAAATCATACAAAATAGTATATTTCTCTATTTTGAAGACAATACTGGGGTCATAATGGTAAGCAATAGAGGCAAGATGAAAGATACTGACATGGTAGGACCAATTATAAAAGGAGTTTGTTGATTTATGGCCCAGGATTGCATCCAGTGGTAACAATAATAACAAAAAATTAAAGCTTATTTGCTCCAAAACCAACCCTAAATATTTCCCTTTTTTTAAATGGATTTTTATTATTTTTCTTAAGATATTTAAAATTTGTGTTTGCAGAATTGGGGTACAGGCCAGAGGTACAGGGGTGATGAGAGAATTCACCAGAGACAGAGTGGGGAGCAGAACAGGCAGATCCACCAAGTACACTGCTGAGGGGAGCAGTGAGCAAGACAGAAGAGGTCTGCTGTGCCACATGGATCACCTACAGGGCTGGGGATCGAACTCACACTGAAGCAGTGGTCGCCAGCTTCTCGTTGCTGCACTCCAAACCACTGCACCACCAGGGAGGGCTGCCTAAATATTTCAAAGATTTTATTTTCAAATTCCATATGACACATTACAAAACATCTCAACGAGGGAGTCCCTGGTGGTAGCTTCAACATTATGAAACTAGCCACAGCCACTGCAACATGAGTTCAATCCCCAGTCAGAGAGCTGACCCACATGGTGCAGCAGACCTCTCCTGACTCACCCATTGCTCCCCTCAGCAATATATTTCAGTCAGTCTGACTGTTCTGCTCCCTACTCTGTCTCTGGTGAATCCTCTTGGCTCCAACCTCTGGCCTATACCTCAGTTCTTGGTTGCATAAATAAAATAAATCTTAAAAAAAAAAAAAAAGTCTCAATGAAACATAAAAGCCCTGGCCCTGATTTACTGTCATTCAAAGCTATATATAAACACTTATAGTATTAACAAACCTAAAATATTATTGAATAAAGGTTTTTAAAGTTCTGAACTATTCCTAAATACATTAAAATTATTAAAAGAATATTCCAGTCATAGAAAAGACTCTAGACAAATAATTATCATGGCACAATACCTTGGTGGGTGTAGACAGTTTTTCTAGTTTGCTCCAAGTTTTGGTCCACAGATTTAACTTCTTCAGCACTTCTGTCATTCAGAGAGGTGATCTGAATGTCATTCTGTACATCCTCAACAAAACTGTCTTTATCATAGCCATTAGTGACAACAATTTCCAAATTTTTATGGCCTGTGGAATTCTTCATCGTTTTAACTTTTATGAAAAAAAATGGAGAAAGATTCAAAGTAGAAAAGTTTCTGCATACTATGTTGTAACATCAAGTAATAATTTTCCCACCTACCCTAAGTCCTTTGAGGATTTCCCACTGGAATCTCTCTGTCAATTCGTGAATCCCTTCTTAGCATAAGCAAATTGTGTTACGAGACCTGGAAGTACAAAGAGCTCCACAGAGGCAATAAAATACCTTCAGAAAAGGTGCTGTTTGGGCCTCCCTGCTGGTACAGGACTAAGGTCTCGGCACTATCAGGTATTGCTAGCCACTTTGGCAGGAGTTCCAGCAGCACTCTGATCCCAGGCCAGGGAGTGGACCCACAAGGCTCAGCAGACCTCTCTTAGCTCGCCTGCTGCTCCCCTCAGTAGTGGACTTCAGTAGATCCACCTATTCGGCTTCGCATTCTGTATCTGGTGGCTCCTCTCATCACCTCCCAACCTCCCACATCTCTGGCCTACACTTCAGTTCTTGTTTGCAGAGATAAATAGAGTAAATCTTTAAAAAACAACAACAAAAACTTACTGTTGGTCATACCTTACTATAAAGAAAAGCAAAACTAAGAAGTGTGGCTTCTGTTTGTCTTTTGCCTCCCTTTCATACAATGGCCTCCCCAAGAATAACTGATTTTGCTACAAACAATTTCCACTCTAACAGTTATTTCTGTAGTGTAGCGGTTATCAAGTTCGCCTCACAAATTCCACTCTCTGCAGTAACCCATGATTCCAGGGCCCCTCTTCACCAAAATTTTTGCTTGAATCCTATTTTCTGGACTCAGTTTTACTCTTGACAAGATATTGAAAGTTGTCTCCCTTTTGTGGTAACTTATATATATTCATATTGGAAATAATTACTTAATAAACCCATTTCTAATAAAGTATTTCAGGCATTATATTCAGAGGAATAGGTTATTGTGTTAGACTTCAATTAACATCTGGTTTCAAGTAACATCTGTGCATAGGCTGGTTGTCCCTATATGCTGTAGTAAAGCTTCTCGGTCCATAACAAGCCTGGTTACTGGGTCAACAGCCTAGATCTGACCAAATGCACTAATGCATAAAATGTAAAATAGCCCAATCCTCTCTCCATATTGTTTGATCTAATGAAATTATTATTTTATTAAAATTGTTAGCATATCATCTAAAGATTACCATTATCATTTTGTTCTGCTCCTTTCACTTCCTCTTGGGTCTCTTCTTCCTCAGATTCAGCTCCGCTATCACTGCTTTCAGCTTTACCATTTACAGTTTTGGCATTTGGAGTAGAAGTTAGTACATTACCCAGATCTAAAACAGAAAATAACCACTTAATGACTATTACTTTAATATACAATAATGTATGAATGATAAATACCTGATAAAATAATTTGAAGTTAAAAAGTTAGAATTTTGATCACTAACAGTACTCTTCTTTGACTATAAATATACATATATGACACAAATATATTCCTTCAATTATCAGTTTACAACAAAAATGATAAAGCTATCCTAAAACTTTTCTGAATGAAACAGAAGACAAGTTATTTTTAAGTCAATTAAAATAGTAAAGTTAGAAGTGAATGGTCCTTATACACAGTAACTGAAGAAACATTTGCTATATGCTAGCATGCTGAAAACATAACTTTTTTTTTGCTCTAATAACAACAGCAGTCTTACCACTGTTACAGTTGGGCTATGTTTAAAATTTTGTAGCTTTTTATTACCTTTAATAATTCAAGTGCCTTTAGGGATTTAAGCGCACAACTGACACCATATCCCTTCATATTTAAGTTTTTTTTTTAATTATCAGAAAAAATTATCAATCACTTAAAAAGGCAAATTGTCCTATCACCCAAAGTCATATACGGAGAGTACATAAGAGCTTCTCAAACACTCTGCATGGGAATCAGGTAAAATGCAGACCAAATCAGTAGGTCTAGAGTGATCTAAGATTCTGCATTTCCATAAAGTTCTCATGTGATACTGTTGGTTACTCTAGCACATATTAGGGTATTAGGAATGATGTTTTCATCAAATCTTTTAAGATACTATTGGTCTTCAGTGGCTACTGATCAAAACTGTGATCTCCTTTAATAAATTTTTGGTCATCATTTGTACTTACACAAAGACATTTTGGATGCTTCTCTGCATCCAACATAATGTACTACATTTTAAAATTTCCATATATCTTAAACAGTCAGGTCTATGATGCTCTTGTTAAGTTTAACTAGTGAGTGGCTCCAAAGAGTAAAAATTCAATCCTATCATAGGCATTATGTCCTACTCTTTCAGAGAATCATGAGAGCAGGACTGTTTTTAAAAGTTTCCATTACTTTCCCCCTGGCAAACAGAAAAAGCAAGAATAACAATTAATGACAATAACAAAACTCCACACTATATTGACAGAGTAAACGATAAAGCCAAGTGATTATAAGCATGGGATGCAGAAAAATCACTTAACAAGTCAACACTTTTTAATGATAATAATGCTGAAGAAATGAAGAATTCAGAAGAATTTCCTCATCTGATGAATTGCATGAATGAACTTTCATAACTAGAGTCATAGTTAATGTTAAAAAACTGAAAGTTCTGTTCCTAAGCTAATAGGCAAGACAAAGATAATCTGCTCCTATCACATCTAATTAATATTAAACCACAAGTCCTAGCCCAGGAAATTAGGCAAGAAGAATAAAGGCATCCAGTCTGGAAAGAAATGATCTCTCTTTGCAGGTGACATGCTCTTACGTATAGAAACCTCTAAGGAAATCTACAGAGGGAAAAAAACACAAAACTAATGGAAATAATAAATGGCTCAATGAGGCTGCAGGATATAGTATATCAGCATACAAAAATCTATCATGGTTCTATAAACCAATAATTAAAAAATTAAATTGGAAAGTAATTCAATTTACAACAGTAGCATAAAGAATTCTTATTAGCCACACATTTGATAAGAGCTCTGCACAAGTTATATAGTGCAAATGACATTATTGAAAGAAATCAAATAAGTTCTAAATGGTCTAGAAGACAATACAGTTGAGATAAAAAATACTCCCCCAAATGATCTACAATTCATTGCAAATCTTACCAAATGCCAATTAACTTTTTTTTTTTTTTTTGCAAAAACTGATTGGCTGATTCAAAAATTCATTTGGAAATGTGAGAGATCCAAATAATAAAAATAGTCTTTGAGAAGGAACAGCTCATATTTCCTGATTACAAAATTCACTAATTATATATCATGTTGTATATGTAAATGTTGAAATTATGTATGTAAAAATGCCCATGACACAAATAGGTATAGTTATACCATAACTACACTTGGTTACTTTTAACAGGATTTTTGTTTAAATAACAAAAGTCAAAGCGCAAAGTGTCTTGAAATTTGGCAGTTATCTTAAAAGATGCAAGTACCCATTAAATACATATATCCTTGGCTCTTAAAATTATACTTCAGAAGTGTTCCATAAATGTAAAATGACAGTTGCTCATGGTTAATCTCAGTAGCATTTTTTGAAAGCCAGAAGAAACAATCTAAATCTCCACTAGAATGATAAATAAATTATGGTACAGGTCTTATCTCTCACAATATTTGTATCCAGAAGATATAAAATCCAGTTTTCTTATTTTGCAAAAGTAATATTCTATATATAATATATATTATATAAGCTCTTCAACAAAAACTAACATAGCATTCAGTAAAAAAATTGGAAACTTTTACAGCAAAGTAGTCACACTAAAAAGGATAAAGGCTTTAGAGACCCTTGTATTATTTTAAGGATGGTTATGTTTTTTTTTTTATTTCATTGTAATTTCTCTTTATTTAATTTGTTGTGAACAATTTTCTATGCTAACAGAGGATAGTTATGTTTTGATGCCAAGTGAGTTATTAAAAAAGCCTCTGGTTTGTGAAGCTTTTGGGATTTGAATACTGTAGACATGATTTTAATATTGTAGACCTGAGTCTTTACTATTCTTATTGACCCTTCTTTGTTTTTATAAGTCTATTTAAACATCTACCTCTGCTAGTACCTTGGATACTACTAAAGAACACCAGATTTAGTTCCCCTCCACATCCTAACAAATGCTTCACACAAAGAAAACATGTAATATGTTTACTAAATTGAATGTGCATGATTTATAAGGAAGACTATTAATATCAGATACAGAGGGTGAGGTACAGCATTATATCCCATGAGTAGCCACTGTCAGTTACTAGGACAGGTACAAACTGCAACCCTATGATAGGGAGATTACGGCTCTGAAACACTATTATTTTAATCAATTAATAAAAAAAGGAGCCTTATAAACTGTGATACAAGAAAAAAGAAGTGATGTCCGGCTAATTTTTATTTAAAACATAAATAATTTTCAATTAAAATGCCACTTATGGGTTCATTTTACTCTGCTCTAAAAATAATGTAAACTTTTGTAATAAAAAATAAATAAATAAAAATAATGTAAAGAAGAAATGTTTATATTAAGTAGCAGTACATTTGTATATTATTCAATGCCTGATTCTAAATAGATAAAAGTCAAGTTCTTGCTCAGACTTTGAGAACAACAACAAAAAAATACAAAGTAACTCAACCCAAACTGTTCTGTCTTATCTTCCTATCTTTCAGCTAAATAGTAATGTAGTTTTGTGAAAAGAGTCAACTGATGTGGCAAACTTCATTATTGTCTTATCTCAAGAAATTGGCACAGCCACGGCAACCTTCAGCATCTACTACCCTGAGGCTGGTCAGTAACCAAGGATATCAGTGCAAAATCCTTCATGCCACATCCCCTCCCGCGGTGCCTAAGTGAGAAATCCTTAGAGCCTGGCACGGTCAAGGTACCAGGCACACGGGAGGAATACATGGCCCTCCAGGAATAGAAGAATGGCTGATTCTCGAATGGTCACTGTAACTTTTGATTTGTTTCCTGATTCTGCTGACACACAACATACTAAACCAAAGAAATGTTATGAACACTG